AGAGCTCACCTGCAGCCCTGCATCCTGGGATTCCAGGTCATTCTCTGCTCCTCAAGCACTTCCATGACCTCCTCCCTGTGTCAGTTATGTGCACATCAGCCACACAGTGAGGAGAAGGAGGAAAACACTGGATTTTTAATGGATTCTGAGTTCAGATCTGCTTTCCTGACCCTGCTGTGCTGCTGCTGACTTTGCTGACGGGGTTTCTCTCCACCCAGGTGTCTCTGCCAACGGCCCAGGGGAGGTGCCAGGGAAGGAGGAGGCCAGGCTGGAGGGGCTGCACGCCAATGGACCCTGCAGCGGGAAGAAAACGCCTCACACGGAGCTGGACACCAACGGCTACGAAGCCGAGAACCTCCCCAGCGAGGCCAAACTTGCTCATTCGGCCTCAAGGAACGAGCCTGAGCTGGAAGAGAAGAGTGAGAGACCTCTGAAAAGAAGGAGAATGAACAGCAATGGGAAGGAGAGCCCGGGTGCTTCAGAGTTCTTCCAGGAAACCAACTCCCACGGGAAGCTGGAGGAGCTGGAAACTTTGGATGACTGAGTGCTGGGAGCTGATTTTATTCCTTGGAGTAAATTCTGGGTGTCTACAATTTTCAGGGTTGATGGGTTACCTTCCAAAGTCCGGTTCCATAAACAATCTGAGATTTTTCTTTGTTTCCTGAGACCTTCTAAAGATCCGATGATTTGGTTTTCTTCAGTGCTGAAAAGCAGCAGGAAAATATTGAATTTCTCAGAGCTGGCAGCTGCGGTTCTGGGATAAAAGGCTCTTAAATATTTAAGGAACAAAGCAGTGAGTTGCTGCAAAAATATTCCCAGCCTAATACATTAAAGAATCTGTTAATACAGCATTTAATGTATAAGACAGCATTTAATCAGTGTACAAGTGAACAAAGCATATGGGGCTTTGCAGGAAGTTAAAATAAAACAGGAAAAGCCAAGACAGAGCAGGCACAGAGACTTCCACTCCTGCTGGAGAGAGGAAAATGCCATCCCATCATTAAGGAACCCTCATGAATCCTGAAAGTTATGAGCACAACTATTTTTATATATAGAAGTTTTAAAAGGTAAATAAATAAACCAGGTCAGGTTTGTCTATGTAAAATTGTTGACATCAATGATGTCTTTCCATATTCTTTATCTGGGCTAAAGAAATACATTCTGTATTTTTCCAGATTTCTTTGTAGCCTTTGAAAGATTTTTACAGTACTTATGTCTTGATTGAACTGTCCTTTCTTAAAACAAAAGCTTGTATAATTTTCTTACCTTGTACAGTTGGTAAACTTTTATGAGAGAGTTGATACCCTGAGTCTAATGTCAGCTTCCTTTTATTTTGCTGAAGTCTTTTCTAAAAAAAAAAAAACCAAACCAAACCAAACCAAACCAATGGAGTTAAAAATTAATCACCAATGTGTTAATTTTCTTCCCAGAAACTGGTAAATAATTAACATAAGAATAGTTAGGAGGCATTTGATTTTGGACATTTGGGGTTTTTTTTACTTGTTTTATGGCAAATAATGATGTTTAAATTTTTGTTAAGCATGCTGCTTGCATTGCACACATTTCCTTGCTTTCTTTCTCCCTTTGTTTGGACCTCAGAGAAATTTCACAGCAGTCAAATTGTCGAGTTTGCTGAACCTTCTTCAGGTTCAGCTGCTCCATCGTGCCCTGGTTTATTTGCTGTGCCCTGCCAGGTTTCGGGGAGCACAGCAGGGGCTGGGCTGGCTGGAAATGCAGCTGGGAGCTCAAAAATCAGAAAATCCCTGGAGAAGGGAGAGCAGGAATTTCACATTGAGCTGGGGAGAACCCCAGTGTGAAAACCAAAAATTCCTCATAAGGAAATGGGAATAGGGTGATGCTCACCCTGCCAGCAGCACCTCTGGAAAGCTGTGGGTGTAGGATTTACATCCAGCAATCAGGAATATTTGAAATCCCAGTTCATTTTGGTTTTGTTTGGTTGTTTTCTTCAGCCCAGCTCCACTTGTGCCGTGTTAAAATCCGGGATCGTTGTTAATTTGATCACTGCTAACCCTGGTCCTCCTCCTCCTCCCAGGTGTGCTGTTCATCCTTCACTGCTTGTTTTCTCTGCAGGTTTTTTTCTCTTTGTGGTTCCAGCTGAACTCAATGGTTTGAAATGGATGTTTCAACCCAAACTCCACTGCTCAGGGCTTGGGCTGATTTGGTTTCTCCTCCACTGAACTTTCCTTGGACTTTGTGATCAGGAATGAGCCAAGCCTCGGGATGAGGATGGGTTGTGGATGCAGAACCCTGGGGAATGATCAGCTCTGCCTGCCAGCCCTGCTCCTGGAGAGCCTCGGGGTGAGGCTCATTCATTACGGCCTGTGTTAATTAAGGAGTGCAGTGATTAATGCCTGAGGCAGAGGTTGCTGGTAACTCTCCCCTCTGGTTATGAGCAGAACCTCAAAGACGGTTCCACACAAGCAGAATCCTATTTTCAGTTTTATTTTGATGTTCTTTGTTTTCGGTTGCAAGTTGGAAATACTTCCAAAAATCCATAGGAAAGTTTCCAAAGGAATTGTCTCAGGCTCGTGTGTGAAATCCAGCACTGTGTACATTTTCAGGAACGTTGCTTTGTTTTTTATCTTTCCTTTTTTTTTTTTTTGGTGATACTTAGAAGAGACCTGACATTCCATAATCCACTATGTAATGCTCAGCTAGACTTTAAGAATATAAGAATATTTAATTCTAATTTACCTTTTGTTTATGCTGGTGTTTTATACAATACTTTGTTCATGTTTCAAACTGCAGCCACTGTAACTCGATAAGTCATTGCACTACTACTAAAGCTATTGAAAATCCTGGAAATCTAACTTTGCTTTCATTTTCCAAGCCTTCTGTACAGGTGGGAACCCAGTCCAGCAGGAAATCCTTGGGTTTCCCAAAGGGTTCAGTGTGCTACAAAATCCCCCCCCACACAAACCCTACAGATGAGGTTGAGACATTTTTTCCACACAGTATTTTGCACTGTCAGTAATTCCCTCCTCTTACTCCCCTTCCCCGTCTGCAATTCTGGAAAAGCTTATTAAAATATTTTTAAACTTACTGTCTGCATCCGAAATTCCTGACTTTCTTTGCTCCAGAGGGGTGGAATATTCCCTGTCAGAGGATGGGAGAGCAGTGGCTGGTACTCTGCAGTGAAACCCATGGCAACAAAACCCATTTTTCTGGATCAACTTCCACTGTTTCCTTCCTTGCCCGTAATGTTTCCCAAATCCCTCCCCAAGGAATATTCGCAGCTGGGAACCCAGAATCCCCCCACTCACCCTGCTGGGACTGGGGGCTGTGAAGAGCCCCCTAAATCCCTGATTCCTCCACCCAGCATTCCCATCCTCTCCAGGGCAGAGAGGGGTGAGGCAGGAGCAGCTTTGGTTCATTGGTTTATTGGAAGCAAATACAAAAATACAGAGGCACATAAATCCTTTCTGCTCTCATTCCTCACATCCACAGCCTGCCATACATTCAGAGTTTCATCACTAAAATGCTCATTTTGTAAATAGATTCTCCATAGAAAACATTTTTTCTTTTTTCTCAATTAATAGCATAGAAAATACTGTTAGAGGAATTCTTGGCTTTCCCAGTGTTTAGGATCCAGCAGGATCCCAGCATGGACAAAATAAGCTTTAAAAATCCTTCCCTGTCAGGACTGCAAATCTAACCAGTAGATTCAAAACCAAACAAATCATAAAAACCCCTCTGGCAGAATCACCCTCCTGGCTGGGACCTCAGCACGGCAGAGTCGGAGCACACGGGGGAGAAAAAAGGGATTTGGGATTTGGGAATGCTGCAGCAAGGCCAGGAGCTGGGTACTGGGAAGCAGGACAGAACCAGTACAAAACCAGTACAGGGACCAGCAGCCCCATCCGGGCTGGGACTGGGGGGCCTCTGCACCCCAGGAAGGGTTTGTGACCCTCCCCACCCTGGACAAAGCCGAGGTTTTGCTGGAATTTTGGGAGACAAAATAATCGGGGATTTCTTTTTTACTGTGCTCAGAGGGGGAATGTGCTGAGGGGCTGCTCCAGGACACCCCAACTGGCCCTGGTCACTACAGTGACCACAAAATCCCACAAAAAAAGAGGGAATTGTGGCTCTGGAATTGCTCCAGGAGCAGGCAGCAGCTGACTCGCTCCACACCTTCCCCAGCACACCAGGCTGGAGCTGCACCCTCACAGAAAAATCTCTCCCCATCCAAAAGCTTCCAGTAAACTCCAACAAATGCAGCTTTGCCCAACAGCACTTCCAGTTTAAGCAAGTATTTCTTAAAAAAACCCACTGACAGTGTCTAGAGAAGCTGTTAGGGTACAAAAATCTCTAAATACATTACTTTACTAAAAGTTTTTTTAACCAAGATTAAAAACAATTCTTTTAAAACCAAAAGACATCCCAAGGAAACCTCGAGAGAGGTGCTGGATAAGACAACCTTTAAAAATCACTTGAACACTGCCCAGTGTTCTACACTTCCAATTCTTTTAGCAGGTCACAAACCCAGGGGGATTCATTCCATGGAAAATGAGAATTATGGGGACCCCTGTACTTGCCAAAAAAGAAGATTTAAGTCCTTGTGCCTCTTCCAGGGGTAGGAGCTGCAGCCCCTGCAGACTGCCTGGATGTGCTGTGCCAGGTGGGACAAGCTGGGCTCTCCTGTGCTCCCAGCAGCTTCTCCCTGCTGGGTCTCCCCAGGAAGGGCAGCAGCTTTCCCAAAAAGCCAGGCCTGGATCCCGGGGAGGCTGCAGAGCTCAGCGGGGCAGGAAAACCCTTCTGGGAATGTCACCGAGCCTCGGAACGGCACAGGTGGATGGATGCAGGGCTCTGATAAACCCAGGAGGGCAAACCCAGCTTGAGAAGCGGGTCAATGGACCAAACAGAAAAAAAAAGAGAAAACAGCTAAAAATCAAGTCCAGAGAGCAGCGAAGATTCACCCAGGAGGCCCTGGCCCAGGCCAGGAGCAGCTCCCGGGGAACGCCAGCTCCCTCGGCATTCCGTGCTCCGGAGGGAGCCCCACCCCGCTGGGATCAGCAGATCCAGGGGTCCAGCCCCGGCCCCGCCCGTGCCCATCTCCCTTGATTAGAAACCCGTTAATTCCTCCCGATCAGGCTCAATTAGGCTCATCCCATCCCGTGCAGGCTGGATGGATCCTCCCAAGGATTTGTGAAGGCAGCAATCTCCGCTGTGCAAATCAGGAGCACCCCCGAGGCTCCTGGCTCCCTCCCCACGTCCTGCCCAGCAGGAGAGGTCGGCTCCCAAAAAAAGCCTCTCCCTGCTCACACCGAGCTCTTCCCTTTCATATCCAGCTTGCTGCCAGCATCCGACTCCTTGCTCATCTGCTCCTCGCTGAAGGTGATGTAGGAGTACACCAGGCTGCCAGCAATGCTGCAAGAGATTGAGGAACGCGTGGGCAGCCAGCCCGGCTCCTGCACCAGCCACACACACCAGGACAAGGCAGAGCCACCCACAGGGATCTGCTGGCAGCATCCCCTTCCCATCAGAATTCCCAGCTTTCCTCCTAAACCCGGGTGTTCTCGTTCCAGACCTGTTCCACCCCCAAAGGATCCTTCAAAAGGACAGGAGCGACCCCCACAACACAGCCCAGAAAGGAGATTTTTCCAAAAGCTGAATAATAAGAAACACCAAGTGAAACAATCCCCAAAATTCTTCCTTTGCTGCTTTAATCCCATGACTCTGCTTGGTAACTCAGGGAAAAGTCAATTTTCCTGCTAAAATACTCCTGTGGATTCTCCTGGCTTTAAAACGAACCAAGTTTGGGAACATCCCCAAAACCTAAGCACAAAGCACAGAACCCAAGCACAAGCACAAAACAACCAAGTACAAAATCCCAAATCCATGGGGGTTTTTTTTGAGGGGGGGCAAAAATCCACTATATCTGTCAGATCGTTTCAGTTTCACCCCAGTTTTCACTGACAAGTCATAAATAAACCTCTGCTCTTACCTGATATTTAGACCAATGAAGTTCATCCATGTAAAAATATAATCTCCTCCAAAAAACATCCCAATATAGGTTATTAAAATATTCTGCAAAGGAACAAGATGGGAGGAACAAACAGCCTGAGACAAGGGAATTGTATGGAAAATGGAATTGATGGAAAAGGAAATGCAGGGGGTGGAACATGAGGGGTTAATGCAATTCCCAAGGGATAACCGAGAGGGTTTTTTTGGGAGCAGGGAATGCCACTCACCTTAATGCAGCCAACTATTGTAGTTGTAAGAGCAGAGTTGTACTGAGTGCAAAGAACCGTGGAATACATCAAAATAAACCTGTGGAAAAGAGCCAACGTCAGGGACACCACCTTGGGAATCCTCATCCCGCCACCCTGGGGTCCCTGCCCCTCAGGGAACGAGGTGAGCCTCAGCTGCCTCCCAGCCCAAAGCACTCCAGGAATTCCAGGATCCATTCCCATCCTTGTTTTCCCACATTTTCAGCTAAACCTGCACTGGAGGAGGGTGGGAGATAATTCCAGCCACCAGAGCTCTCAGGAAGGGTATCCCAAGCAGGACTGAGGATTTCTGATGGCTTTTAAATAGCACCAGGGCACCACAATTCCCAGTTTCTGGCATGGAGATGCCTTCCCTGCTGCCAGTGCTTACCCCATCACACAGGACAGCGTGAACTGCACGAGGAAGAACGTGTCTGCCCAGCCCTGGTACTCCACTGCCTGCAGGAACAGCAGCTTTAGAGCCTTGGCAAGCACAGAATTCCCAGCAAGACAAGGAACAACCCCCCCAGCATCGGCTGTCACCTCACAGCAGGAAAAACCAACCCAACTCCAAGCCTGGAATGACATCCCAAGGCTGGGGATCCCCGCTGGCATCACCTCCAGCCTCAGCACTCAGCTCAGCCCTTCTGGAAAAGGCAGGGAACGAGAGTCAGGGGGCTCAGGAGTGGCAGCTCCCAGCTGGCTGCTCCCCAGAATTGGATCATTTTTGGAATTCACTCCCTGCAAACCACAACACTCATCCCAAGGGAGCCGTGACCTCTGGAGATGCTGCTGAGAGTGGCTTGAGGCAGCCTGGATTTCAGGGAAGGGCTTTTTCCCTGGGCTTTTGGGGTCTGGGGAGCATCTGGATCCAGAGGGGCCACCAAGATCCTGCAGGGACTGGAGCACCCCTGAGGAGAGCTCAGGGTGTCAGCCAGGCTCTGCCAGAGGTGCCCAGGGACAGGATCACGGAGCCAGGGGCACACAGGGACACTCAGGAAGGTCCCTCTGGATCCCGCAGACACTTGGAGAGGGGCAAAGGCTGCCAGGGAAGTGGGGGAGTCTCCATCCCTGGGCACACGCAGGATCCAGGTGGATTCAGAGGGAGCAGAGGAGCCTCAGCACAGGGCAGGAGCTGCTTCCCTCGCTCCCTGCCAGCTGGGCAGGGAATGCCAGGGCTGCTGCAGGCAGCTGGGAATGCCCTTCTCCCAGGGACACCCAGCTGCAGCCCTGGGAGCTCCTCCTGCAGCTCCTGCAGCCCCTTTTCCCCAGGAATTCTGCACAGAGCAGGATGTGTTACCTGGGACGCCTCCAGAGGAACCACAGGAATTCCCAGATCCGCAGGCACAGGAAAGGCCCCCAGCCCTTCCCAGCCCTTCCCAGGGGGGTTTTCCTGGAGCTGCCAAGGCGGAGTTTCCTGGCAGCAGCCCCGGCACACAGCACATCTTTGTGCAGCCCAGAAAGGAGTTTATTCAGGGCAAAAGCAAATCCAAAAAAGCCATTTCTCTCTCCGGGCTGAACAGAGGCTGCTCACAGCCACGTTTCCCTGCCCAGGCCCAGCTCCTGCTCCTAAATGAGCACTTTTATCCCAAAGCCAGCCCCGGGAGCTGCTCTGCAGGGCGGGGCTGAGCCACCTTCACCCCCTCCTGCCACCCCTGCTAAGCCCAGCTCATTATCCCGGGCTTTAAGCTCCTAACGAGGACAAAGCCACCAGGCTGGGGGACAGAGGGGCTGGCAGGGCGCCCCAGGGCCACCCCCGGGGTGGGTGGCACCTCCAGCCTTTGGAGGAGAGAATTTATCTGAATTCCCTGCACATGGAGAGCATTTCCAAAGGAAAATCAAAAAAATCCAAAGCCAGGAGAAAGGAATTTGTTGCTCAGGAGAGCCAGCTGCACATCAAGTGCAACAACAACAAAAATAATAAATAATAATATGTATAATAATATTATTATACATATTGTTAATATTTGTGATAATATCAACAGTATTAATATGAGGAATAATAATAATTAATAATTTCAATGTATACAGAACCACAGGCAAATAATAATAATCATAGTAGTAATACTAAAGAAAAATTTCATGTATACAGAACCACAGGTAAATTATTATTATTATTATTATTATTATTATTATTATTATTATTATTATTATTTATATTTATATTTATATTTATATTTATATTTATATTTATATTTATATTTATATTTATATTTATATTTATATTTATATTTATATTATTAGCATATCCAGGACCACAGCCTCAATGGGACACCACAAGCAAAGGGAACCCCCACGGCAACCCCCAAAACTGCCCCAGCAAGAGGGGAAGGACATTTTTAAAAAGTTTGAAGAAACTCATTGATTCTAAAGTTACTCAGCATCTTTAAATAATATTTGGGTTTTCTTGTTGCTCTCCACTTCCCCATTCCCCAGGCATTACAAAAACGCCTGAATGGAGCAACTCTGTGGGTTTAAAGTTAACGTAAAAGTTAAACTGCAGCTCCCTCCTGCTGGGTTGGTTTTGGGGCACCACCCCTCCCGCAGCTGCCCCTCAGCCCCCCAGGCTGCCCATGGGATGGTGCCACAAAACCCATGGATTTTGGGATGCTCTCCTACCTTCTGTGCATCTCCAGTGACGTAGGCAATGGCCAGGGTGGGGAGGATCATGAACAGTGCATTGTAATAGAGCAACCCGTACTTCCCCAGCTCCTGCAAACGGGAAACACCCGAGGCCTTGAGTGGGAACAGCAATTCCTGCTCACCCTGCACTGGGACTGGGCCTGCAGCCCAATCCAGGTGGGATTCTTCCAGACAGAGGAGCTGCAAGGGTGGCAATTCTGAAATCTCATGGAATTCCAGATGGTTTGGGCTGGGAGGGACCTTAAAGCCCATCCAGTGCCACGGGCAGGGACCTTCCCCTGTCCCAGGCTGCTCCAGCCTGGCCCTGGGCACTGCCAGGGATCCAGGGGCAGCCCCAGCTGCTCTGGGAATTCCATCCCCACCCTCCCAGCCAGGAATTCCTCCCCAGTCTCCCACCCATCCCTGCCCTCTGTCAGTGAAGCCATTCCCTGTGTCCTGTCCCTCCCTGCCTCATCCCCAGCCCCTCTGCAGCTCTGGACAGATTTTGGGAATGGGATGGCTGAGCCTCCCCACTCTGACCTCACAGGAACCAGTCCCAAAATGCCAAAGGAAGCCAAAGCTCAGCCCACCTTGGAATCCAGCTTCTGTTTCACGTAGGCACCGTTTGCAGCTGTTAAGGCGTCGTTAATGAGGATAAAAATATATCCCTCCAGGTCGAATGCCAAGTCAGCACTGGGGAGGGGAAAACCAGAGTTAAAGCTCTGGGCTGTGCAGGGACAACGCTTGGAAGGCTCCTTCCACCTTCTGTGGAGCCAGCAAGCTGTCAGGAAAAGTTAACCACGGGAGAAGGGGCTGGGATTTGGGTCAGGAAAACATTCTTTCCTACTAGAGAGCACGTCTTGGGGCGGGGAAAGTCAGTGGTTAATCCCTCTGTTCTTGGGACACACCAGGGAACTCCATTCCCACTGGGACATGGGAATGGGGACAGCTCACCTGGCAGCCACAAATGCACCGAAGATCATGGCAAATACTGTCATCTGAATGCTCCAGGAAAACTTCTTCCTGGGAAAGAGGCAGCAGGACACGCCATCAGCCACTGCTCGCTCCTTGGGAATGCTCTGAGCAGGGAGAAGCTTTTCCCCCTGAGGAAAGGGGGAAAACCCCAACCCAACCCCCAACCCCAACCCAAACCCAACCCAACCGAGCTGTGCAGGAGCTGTGAGCAAAGACATTTGTGGGCAATTACCTCCACGATTTTTTTAGAAGATAAAGAACTCGGCCTCAGGGAGCTGGGAGCTCGTGGGGAGCTGCAGCTCTGCCTGGGGCAGGGCAGGAAGGGCTCAGCTGGGCACGGAGCAGCTCCAGCCCTGGCAAGGGGCTGTGGGCACCCCGGGAATGCAGGAATTGGGGCTGGCACAGCACCTGCACCTCCCTGAGTGCTGCAAGGGGGGCCAGAGCAGGGTATCCCTGTCTGCCAGCTCGGGAAGGGATCGGGGTGGCAGCTCCTGCACCCACACCCTTCTTCCCTCCCTTCCCCTCCCGGCTAGGTTTGGGCAGCCCCGGGACCATCCCTGGGCAGCTCCAGAACTGTCCCCGAGCAGCCCCGGGACCATCCCGGGCCGGGAGCACTCACTTGAGCAAGAATCCCTCGGCAAACATCGTAAACAGGATGGAAAACCTCCGCAGGACCGTGAACATGGGCAGGCTGCAGGAGGAAGGAGCAGCGGCGTGAGAGGCTGCCCCCCTTCCCCACATCCCAAACAGAGCAGGGACACGGGATCAGAGCAGGAATATGGGATCAGCCTGCCTGTGCCCTGAGGGGAGAATTCCCCTCTGGGAATGGCAGTGCTCCCACACCCCTTGGATCTGAGCCTGCCGGGCTGGGGGACCCCCAGGGACACCCCCAGAGCTCACCCCACCGTTAAGAGCCAGCCCCGAATCCCTCCCTGCCCGCGGGGAGCATTTGGGAACACACACGTGGCACATCCCAGCGTGGGCAGGGAGGGAAGGAGGGAAGGGAAGTGCAGGGCCCGAGGCTCCTGCCCCATCACCCAGAGCCCCAGGCCCGGCAGGGCTCCCTGGCAAGCCTGGAAACCCCCAGGGAACGTTAAACCCGTCCCTACTTCAGTTTCTTTGTGCTGAACAGTCCTGTGATCTGGTTCCCGAAGTACAGGAGAGGTAGAGGAAATGTCTGCAAAGAAGAGGGGTAAAGCTGTGGGAGCCAGCCGGCAGCTCCCCGAGCAGCCCCGGGGGATAAAAACAGAATGGAATTATTCCCACCCGCCATGGAAACCTTCACACACACACAAATACACACACACGTGTCCCAGAGCTGCAGGATCCCGGGAATGGGCATCCAGAGAGCCCCTGAGGGGGCAGGGACCCCGGGGCTGGGGAAAGGAGCCCAGGGAGAGGATTTGAGTGCTTGGGAAGGGGATTTGAGTACCTGGGAAGGGGATTCAAGTGCTTGGAAGGAGATTTGGGTGTTTGGGAAGGGGATTCAAGGGCTTGGGAAGGGGATTCAAGGGCTTGGGAAGGGGATTC